AAAAACAGGACAGGATGGTTCCAGTAGGCATCCAAAATAAAACATCAGATGACTTTCCAGTGGAAGAAAAGGCACTAGAACTACCTGACAGGGAATTCAAATCTCTAATACTCAGAATTATCCAACAGTTGAAGCAAAAAGCAGATAAAAAAGAGGAAAAAATAGACAAATTCACGGAAAAGGTAGACAAATTAATGGAAAATACAGACAAAAAATTGGAGGAATTCAGGAAAATAACGCAGGAACAAAATGCCAAAATAAATTCACAACTAGAAATTATTCAAAAACAACAATTAGAAACCCAAAAGATAAACAACAAGATTTCAGAAATGGACAGTGTCACAGAAGGGCTGAGGAGGAGATTTGAAACAGTGGAAGACAGGATCAGCAGAATTGAAGACAAATACTTGGATACAACTCTGTTTCAGGAAAACTCAGAAAAAAGAACAAAGAAAAATGGAACGACCCTAAGAGTTATCAAAAGCAAAAATTGGCAAGTGACTGCAGTTCCAGAACGGGGAGAAAACAGAAAACACAGAGAGGATCTTTGAAGAACTCCTGACAGAAGACTTCCCCAACATCATAAAAGATGAAAAGCTGGCCATCCAAGAAGCTCAACGAACCCCATATAGGATAGACCCCAAAAGAAAATCACCAAGGCATATCATAATCACACTCACCAAAACCAAAGACAAACAAAGAATCCTGAGAGCACCTCGTGAAAAACAAGAAGTCACATACAGAAGTCTAAGCTCAGATTATTCGGCAGGAACCATGCAGGCAAGAAGGCAATGAGATGACATATATAAAACCTTGAAAGAAAAAAATTACCGGCCAAGAATAATATACTCTGCAAACCTCTCGTTCAAATCTGATGGTGAAACTAGGACAATTCCAGATACACTGAAATTAAGGGACTATGTAAAAACCAAACCAAACTTACTTATTAAAGGAAGTCCTTTGATCTGAGAACAAACAATATTAGATCACAGGCTGAATACAGGACACATGATTGTACCAGCCAGATACCAACCTAGGAAATGAACTCTCAAGGACTATCCAAAACCAAAAGGAATACAACAGGGAATCAAAGCAGTTAATCGATAAATGACAACAACATCAGAACAATAAAAGACGGAATAAACGGTGTAGGCACAGAGCCTTCTAACGGAGAGGAAGACAAGGCAATACCAAGTAATAATAGACTGCTTCAAACTTAGAAAGGTAAGGGTAAATTTCATGGTAACCACAAAGAAAGTTAACAAGCATACTCATAAAAATAAAGAGGAAAAACAAAGCCTCAGCAAAAACAAAACCTACAAAAACAAAAGAAAGAAAAAAAAATCCACAAACAAAAGTAATTCAGCACAGGAGAGTAAGAAGAACAAAGAAAACGTCAGCACCACACAAAAAAAGCACTACAAAATGACAGCAACAAACTCACGTCTATTAATAATTACACTGAATGTAACACAATAGCAAAAAGATGGAAACAACCTAGATGCCCATCAACAGATGAATGGATAAACAAACTATGGTACATACATACAATGGAGTACTATGCAATGAGAAAGAACAACAACGAATCTGTGAACCATCTCATAACATGGATGAAACTGGAGGACATTATGCTGAGTGA